TGCAGTCAGGCTGGCGGGACAGCCGGAGGCCACGGAGCCCAGGAAGGTCCGGGAGCGCCCGGAGCCCCTGGGTCACATCCAGGGAGCTGCACAGGTCTCGAGAGCCGCAGCCGCGCATGCTCACGTTCCGGCCACCTGCAGAGACGGGAAGAGCAGGTGAGGAGGGGGCGTGGCAGAAGGCGACACCTGCACACGCACCTGGACCCCCGGCGGCCCCTGAGTCCCGTTCGTTACACGTATTAACAAAAAGGATGGCGCCCGGAGGCCGCTGTGTTCACACGTCCTCCACCTTGTCTAGTGCACAGCTGTCCCGAGTTTTTCGTGTGCTTCTCAGATCCATAGTATGAGGCAAAGTGGTATATTTATGTCTGAATATAAATATGCAAATGTACCGGGTTTATTAAGAGCATGATGGGGACGTGTAAATAAAATGGTCTTTATTTTTTAATTTAAAAATTCTCATAATTGGAGTTTACTTTTAAGTCCTTATCTTTTAGAGAGCTACAGGTAGGTGAAGTGATGTGACATCTAAATTTGATTCAAATATGCAGGTCAATGGGGAGATTAATTATCAGAGTGCAGTGAGAAGTATATATGGAGTTTATTAAACTATTCTGCTTTTATTTATTTGTTTGTTTGTTTGGTATCCGGGATCAAACTCAGGTCCCTGCTCTTGCAAAGCAGGTGCGGGAACCACTAAGCTAAATCCCCGGCCCTTCTGCTTTCATTTATATTTGAAATTCCCTATAATTTTTTTTTAAGTTAAAAAGAAATGTCAAGCTGGGTGTGGTGTGCACACATGTAATCCCAGCACTCTGGGAGGCTGAGGCAGGAAGAAGGCAAGTTAGTGAGACCCCCATCTCAAAAGAAAAATAAAAATGGGCTGGGGATGCTATTCAGTCAAGGGCCCTGGGTTCAATCCCCAGGACCCCCAGAGAGGAGGAAAAAAAGAAATGTCAGACTCGGTGCTATGATTTGTATTTGTCGAGTCACGTTTGTGAGTCACCCCACAAACCCCCTCTCATGAACCTCCACACATGCACGCCCACACACACGCATACGTACATACAGACATACACCTGCGTCACACACAGCTCCGCTGATGTCCCTGAGCCCTGCACGCAGCACACCCCCACCCATCCTGGGCACAAACAGACACGCTCTCGCCAGAGACTCACACGCGCAAGCTCAGAACACTCTCCAGGTGAAGCCAGCACAGCCGTGGACAATGATCAGAAGCTCCTGCAGTCATGGCCTCGAGTGCTCACTGAATTTCATCAATTCCCAGATGCACAGCCCCCTGGGCCCCCACCCTCACATTTCTCAACAGCGCTGTCTTCCTTCTCCCTGATGACACAAGCTGACGCTCTGCGATGCCACTGTAGCACTTGCCGTGTTCTGGACCGATTCTCATGCGGTCCTTACTAGCTACACGTGGCTACTGTGCTTTTGAGACGTAGTGAATCTGAATTGCTATGTGTTGTGAGTTTAAGATAAACACCAGATTTCAAAGACGTAGGAAAAACTGAATGTAAGATATCTTGTTTAAAATTCCTTATGTTGATTGCAAGTTGGAAATGATAAATGTTGGGTTAAATAAAATGTTATTAAATTAATTTCCCATTACTTTTTTTTTCCTGCAGTACCAAGGATGAACTCGGGACCTTGCATTTGTGAGGCAGGCTCAGTGCCACTGAGCTAAATCTCTGGCCCTCATTACTTTTTACTCTTTTAATGAGGCTACTATAAAACTTTCTTCTTTTTTTGGAGCAGGGCAGGGACAAGGTCTTGCTAAGTGGCTCAGACTGGCCTTGAATTCACTATGTAGTCCAGGCTGGTCCTGAACTCCTGGCAATCCTCCTGCCTCAGCTTCCCTTAGGATCACACCTGGCTGTGAAAACTTTAAATTGTATGTGTGAGTCACATTATACTGTTTTCCAAAAGCACTCATCTAGAAGTTTAATGGATTGTCTAATTCTCACAGCAGTCTTATGACTTAGAGGCTATTATTTCCCATTGTCAGGAGGAAAACTTGAGGCACAGAGAGACAAAGTCAACTGCCCAAGGTCACCCAGCATGTAAGTATTGAATCCAGGCTTTGAACCTGGGCAGCCTGGCTGTGGAGTCCTGCTCTGTTGCCTCTAACTCTATTGCTTCTCTCTTGAGCTCACTTTGTCACCATCTCCATTTACCAGAGGGAAAACTGAGGCTCAAAAAGATAAATTTGCTGCCTTGGGCCATACAGAGAAAATGAGCGGGGATGAGGCCCCAAACTCAGTTGTGTCTTTATCTGGAACCAGTGTGCTCGGGTTCACTTGTGTGCACACACACACACACACACACACACACACACACACACACACTGCACATATACTGCTCCTGTTACCGTCATCCGATGTCAGGTCCAGCTGGACACACTGGGTCTCCCCACGGGGACACTGCAGGTAGAAGGAGGAGCTGCAGGACCCGGACTGGCCCTTGGGGCACGTAGGACACAGGAACTTGGTCAAGGTGCGTGAGGCCGGCAGAGCTGCTGTACAGGGCAAGGTGAAGGTCAAGCGGTGGGGGAGGGGGCTTTCAGGACCTCCCAGGCCTGCAGCACACTTGGGAGTGGCCACAGGGGAGTGACTTGAGGGTTCCTGCTGAGCTGGGGTCGGGGTGACTTGGGGAACCTGGTTGGAAACAGGGTTAAAGGATCTTCCCGTCCACCTTCCTCCCTCAACTGAGGACAAGCTCGCCTCCAGAGTCACCCACCACCTCCTCAGGCACCATCGCACTACTTTCTGGGGGCAACGTACCAAGCGGAATGGGTTCCTGGCAATTGCCTCGGCAACAGGTGGTGTTGACCCAGAAGCCAAGGCCGACGCCATAGGTCAAGGCAGAGACGGAGTTGCTCCGTGTGCAGTCCGTGGAGGCCACGCAGGAACCATTTCTCCAGGAGAGAGAATTCCCATCCCCGAAGGCTGGAGAGATTCGGAAGGCAGGCTGATGCCGAAGGCAACCATGACCACTGCCCCGTGGACCCTCCCAGATCCCTGCAGGTGGCACTCTCTTGGCATTCACTGTGCCTGAGATGCCCCCGGACTCAAAAGCTGCTCAGAGCTCGGGAAGACACATTTCAGAAAACCTTGCTTGTACCCTACCTGGTCCCTCAGGGTCCCAGTGAGCGCAGTGTGACCTCTGTGCCCGTGAGGTCTCCCCAACCTGCCTACGAGCACCTTGTGAGATTGGCCAAACACTCCTGTGGGCACCCAGAAATGCCCAGCGCTGGAGCCTGGTACCCAGTACCCTGTCTTTACTATTCCTGTTTATGCTGTTGAAAGGCCACCAAGAGCTGTTTCAAGTTCACCTCTACTGCCATTTACAGAAGAGTCATTTTCCCATTTGTGGGGGCAGACGGACGGGGACTTAGGGGTCTCCTTGCCCAGAATGGCACGACAGATACCAAGATGTCCACGGCTGTATTTCCCATCCCGCATGCTCTTGTGAAACATGACTTTACCACTCCCTTATCAGGAAGTGGAATCTACTTCCTCATCCCTAAAATCTGAGATGTGCTTGTGATATGCTCTGGTCCTCCGGTCAACAGACTGAGGCAGAAATGAGTTCGTGCCAGTGCTGAGCCTATGTCTTAAGAGGCCTGGTGTGTGCACTTCTCTCTCGAGCACTCCTGCCCTGGTGCAGCTCGCAGCTGTCTGCGGCCCCACAAGTGACCTTGGTCTTCGCCGCTGGGAGCAGAAGAGCTGCCCAGCTGAGCCCAGACGGGGGAGACTCCTGAGAAATAACAAATCACTGTTTGAAACTACGAAGTTTTCTAAAATTGTAGTTTAAGAGAAATAGCATAAAGTTTACCCTCCTAACCATATTTAAATGTACGTTTTCGTGGCGTTAACTATATTCACATGGTTGTGTAACAGATCCCTAGAACATTCTCATTGTGTGTAATCGAAACTCTGTGCCCATCCGACAACTCGTTCCCTTCTTCTCTGGGCCCTGACAATCACTGCTGTGCTTTCTGCTTCATGATTTTGACTACTGTAGTGGTCCCATCTAAGAGAAACCATGCAGTATCTCGCCCTTTGGTGACTAGGGAAGGCAATAAGCTTCCAGCTGATCGTTATTTAGCAATCACTAAATCCTGCCATTGGCTTTCCCACCATAGAGTAGAAATTCTGTCCTGCGCGGCCAGGAACATTTGAGGCCACAAACCTGGGAGGACAGGATAGGTCTTGCTGTGCTTTCTGTCCCCATGGGCACTCACCGGTGATGCCTGCTGTCTTGAGGCAGTAGTTTCTGTCCGCCGGACAGGGAAGAGGGTCGCAGTGCTGGAGGTCTGAGCAGGTGAAGCAGATGGTGGTCTTTGGGTTGGTGTGGGTCACGGCTGCAGGGGCACCTGGGGAGGGAGAGCGAGAGAGTTAACCGGTGCGAGAGGACGTGCATGTATGCGCATGTGTGTGCACACAAGTTTCTGGGCACATCAGTATTACCCTTCAGCGTGGTGCCAAAATGTTCTTGTGTGTGTGCCCTTCTGCAGTGACACTGTTTGTGGGGCAGAGTGAGCAGGGCTGATTCTTGGGGTGCACATCTGACTGTCTGCATCTGTGTTGGTTTTTCTGTGTTTCTGAAGCTGTCTGTAAGGGGATATGGGTGTGTGTGTGTGTGTGTGTGTGTGTGTGTGTGTGTGTGTGTGTTTGCACCTGGCTGTGAGAATCAACGTGTTCGTGTGTGGCCACTTTACATGTCAGTGTCCATAGGAGCTGTGTATGCAAAAATTCCACGTTCCGTGTTCCCATGGTCGGCAATCTTATTTTGCCCTTTTCCTTTACATACTGTACACTTCAAGCTCCCAATCTCCCTCTTTTCCTTCATTGTGATAATTAACTTAACCCACTGCATAGTTTTAAAAAGCAAACCCGTGGGCAGCTGGGAATTTGAGAGAGCAGAAGTGTGAATGTTCCTGCTTTGCCTGCAGGCTCAGCCAATGGATCCTGCTCTGCATTTGGAATGGTCCTTGCTGAGAAGGTTCTAGAAAAGGTGCCTTCACACTGCTGGAGCCCTGTCCAGGGAAAAGTGCCTTTCTCACCTCTAAAACTTTGATAATTCTGTTCAGTTAAAATCACTTAATAGAGCTGGGCATGGTGGCGCACACCTGTACTTCCAGCACTTGGGAGGCTGAGGCAGGAGGATCACTGAGTTCGAGACCAGCCTGGGCTACATAGTGAGTTCCAGTTCAGTCTCAATGACATAGTGAGACCCTGTCTCAAACCAAAATTAAAAATTAAAAAATTAAAAAAAATAAAATCACTTAATAAACTATTGTCCCAGGAAACACTCTTTCAATTAGCATGTCTCTTTTCTGGAAGAAAAAAATTGTTGGAAATGTTCTTTGGTAATCCAAAAGAAGACTGTTGGCAAACCTGGCTCCTTTCACAAGCAAGGTAGTGAAGAGAAGAAAAAGACCATCAGAGTCATTCCTTAAACCGAGTTTGAATCTCTAATCTCACTTACACCAAAGGATGCTCCCGTTGAGAATTCCCTGGCCTCTACAGAGGTGGGGCAGATGTTGGGATAGATTGTAGGGTTCATTGATCACAGTGGTGCATGCCTGGAATGCCAGCACTCTGGGAGGCTGAGGCAGGAGGGTCATAAGTTTGAGCCCAACCTGGGAAAATGTGAAACTTAGCAAGACACTATCTCAAAATTTTTAAAAATAAAATAAAAAGGGCTGGGGAATGGAACTCGTTGTGAGGGGCCTGGATTCCATGTGTGCCAAAGGATTATCTGTTTCTGAGTGTGGCAGGTGCTACGGTGATTCTGGGTAAATGTATTCCTTTGTGTACAGAGGGGGACAGGGTTCCCTGGGAATACAGCGTTGGAAGAGCACATGAAACCCAGGGAAGGTTGTGAGTCCACCCTTCCAGAAGAGCACCTGGCTGTGTGGGAGGAGGGTTGCAATCAGGTTTGGAGGTGAGACGGAATCCTGTCGCCTCTGGGCCCAGGGTGTCATTCACTTGCAGGTGGCAGACATCTGGTGTAGCGCAGCCCTTCAGGATTTGGGGACGCCCTGCAGAAACAGGAAAGGCCGGAGGGAGCGGCTCGGAGCTCAGGCCTGCCACCTTGATACCTCTCTTTTTCTGTCTGAGTGCTCTCATCTCTTGCTGAATTCTAGACGATTCATTTTCAAATCTAGCTCACCTCTGTTCCCTGCTCTTTCTCATTTATTTATTTTGTGCTTCTAACTGTTTGCCTTCAAATATACTGCCTGGAGGTAGACTGCGTTCTGATGACCGCTGTAGCCGAGCTCCTCCCGGCCCAGCGTCTGTGGCGTGTGGTTTCTGCTCTTGCCCATGGTGCATATGTCCTTGTGCATTTCACGGGCTGATTATGAGCTCATATTTGGCTGATGATCTGAGGGAATCCTGGAGACTTTTTTTTTCCCTGAAATTTGCTTTTGCCTCAACAGGGATGCAAGTGGTGTTGCTAAGCTTCCTTCCGAGGCCCCAGGCTTCTGTGTGAATCTAGGGGTCCGCTCCCCAACCGTGCTGCCACCCTAAGATCCATCTACCCAAAGCAGATTGCTCTCAGCACTGGTTCTCCTGACCACTCTGCCTTTCGTATTTTTCCTTACTCTCCCTCCAATGTCTGCCCACATATTTGTTCTGTCTAGGAACACTTGGGCATTTGCCTAACTTCCCCAAAGCCCCAAGCAGCGCGGGGAATAATACACTTTTTGTAAAGATTTAGTTGACCTTAAACAGTGACGTGCCAAGCTGGGGAGGGAGGCTAATGGGAGCAGCCCATCATAAAAGCAGGCTGTAAAGAGGTGTATTGCCTGCATTGTCTCAGGAAAAATAATTTATATATATATGTATATATCAACATCAATGTAAAGTCAATCTGGTTATTCTCACCATGAACCAGCAATGCTGAATAATAATGCCAGTGATGCAATATTCATTCCTACCCGGAGGGAGCCCCTTCCCCAGCCCTGTCAAGTCTGCCACTGTTTAGAGTGGGACGATCTTACAGAGAATGCAGTCCCCATGCTGTGGGGAGTAGAAGCCTAGGCCACTGCTTTCTGTTCTGATGTTGGCCTCAGCGTTAGTCTATCTGCTGGCCGGGGTGGTTCTTTCGTAAGCCTTTACTGAGAAAAGAAACCTCCGCATCAACCATTTGCAAACACATGGTGGTGATTTTTAAATGTTTCTGGGAACTCTCAGAGACGTCAACAGGTGACATTGGTGCCTCTTCTCCCCACCACCTGCCTGAAACCAGATGAACTTTTGTGAGCCTTTCAGTCCATACACCGGCAGAAGTAACAGTATGTGACTTCCAAGGCTTGGTCATAAACGTCCAGGCAGTTGCCGCCTGGTTTGCAGGATGGAGTCTTCAGCTGCCATGGAAAGGACACTGAGCCGCCATGATGTAAGGAAACCCAACCTAACCTGGGCAGCAATGCAGCGGGGAAAGAGCTCAAGACTCATGTCTGAGAGATGCTCAGCCTGGCTGCTCTTCGCCCTGCAGCCCCAGCTCCATCCATTTCCCAACTGCAAACACATGAGTCACCCAGAACTGTGTGCCTGAGTTCTTCCTGACTCCCCAACCCACGGAGACTCTAAGAACAAACGGTTGTCGTCTTAAGGCACAAAGTTTGCAGGTGATTTGTTGAGTACCAAGGGCGTGACAGAACACACACACACACACACACACACACACACACATGAGAGAGAGACCTTAACATTGGTGCAGAGCGGAGGGAGGTTGGCTATGCAAACCCGAATGGAGCCCTTACCTCCACTCCATGTCCCATTGAGGGTGACACACTTGGTCTGGTTCCCAGTGCAGTTCATGACCGAAAGGGAGTCACAGGGGGTCGACTTATTCCCGGAACAGTATTGACATGTCACGTGGTTGGCCTTGGGCCCTGGCTCTGGTGGGATGGAAGTAGTCAGAGTGCGACAGAGGTTGAGGAGCCCCTCCCAGCCCTTCTTCCCCACCAGCCCTCTGTTCTCCTGCCTCCTTTCCCTGCCTCCACCTGCCCCCAGAACAATCCAAATCATTTGTCTCCAAAGTGAGACCAGCTTGATCTCAGCTGCCTCCTTCCAGCCCCTGAAGACTTATTCTGAGAAGCAACAAACAGAACAGCTCATTTGTCCTAAAGAAACCACAGGGCTGTATCCTAGGGGTTCTTTTATTCGTTCCACTAACATTTCTTGAGAACCAACTGTGTATCAAGCATTCTTCTAGATCCCGGAGACAGCGGTGATCACACGGATGAAAGACCTCCCTTAGAGACCTTGAACTCCAAAAGTGATTACAAAGAGATTCTGTTCTGTTAGGTTTAAGATGTTGTAATATTCTGCAGAGCAGCAGAACTCTGCCTTCCAGGTTCTTCACTATCTGATTAATTTTGAGAGTTTCCCCAGAGATCTGAAACATTTAAGAGGAAGCCACATAAGCATATATTTCCTGAGTCAAAACTCAGTCATAAGATGGGCATGTTGGTGCATGCCTAATCCCAGCACTCAGGAGGCTGAGGCAGGAGGATCACAAGTTCAATGTCAGCTTTGGCAACTTGTAGCCTGGACTATATAGCAAGACCCTGTCCAAAAATGAACTCATATTGAAACACTGACAGGTTCAGAGAAGGCATCTAAAGGAAACATTAAATAGGGCCAGGGATTTAGCTCAGTGGTGCTGCTGCCTGCCTTGCAAGCGCAAGGTCCCGAGTTCGATCTCCAGTACCAAAAAAAAAAGAAAGAAAGAAGACATTAAATAGTGGTGTGCTGTCTAAAACATGTCCCCTGGCACATGTGGATCTTGGGTACTTGAAGCATGGCTGATTTCCCTTGAGCGGTCCTGCAAGCATAAAATCTTTCAGTAGATTTCAAAGTCTTAGCATGAAAAAAGGATATAAGATATCTCATCAATAATTCCATATTAGAGGGGTGTAGTGGTGCATGCCTGTAATCCCAGCACTCAGAAGACTGGGGCAGGAGGCCAGCCAGAACTACATAGAGAGACCCTATCTCAAAAAACAAAACAAAACAAAACAAAAACCTATATTGATTATATACATTGCTTTAGTTTGAGCCTGCAGTGTTCCCAGACGGTATGTGTGTTAAAGGCTTGGTTTCAGGTTTGGCACCATTGAGAGGTGGTGGAACCTTTAAGAGGTGGGGCCTAGTGGGAAATCTTTAGGTCATTGCAGGAGCGGCCTGGAAGGGGACTGTGGGTCTCCAGTCCCTTCCTCTTGCTCTCATGAGGTGCATAGGTTTGCTGTGCCATGCACTTCCCCTGTAATGTGCTACCTCACCTGTCATAGGCCCAAAAGCTGCGAGCCCAACCAGTCACAGACCGGACTTGCCAAAACTGAGCCAAAATCAACCTTCTCTCTCTATGAATTGATTATCTCGGGATTCGTTATATAGTTACAGGAACGTGACGAACACATGCACGTTGAAATGTTAATATTTTAGCTGAATTTCCTTAAATAAAACGTATCACTAAAATTGTTCACTAGATTATTTTTAATGTAGCTATTAGAGAAGTTTTAACGATATATGTGACATGTCAGATTGCCATTGGACAGTGCTGCCATAAACCCTCTACCAAATTATATATATATTTTTGACATGCTCCCTTCAATTTTTCATCAGAAATAGAAGAGTTTTCTAGGTGCAGTTATTACCCTAACTGTCACGTTATGTGTTGAAGAGCATGCCCCAGTCTTGGCTTGGACCTGACAGGTTTTTGTTGAGATCCACAATTTAGGAGGGAAATTGCAGTTGTTTGCAAGAATGCTTGGTAGCCAAGTGCTGGATCTCCACATTGCTACCTTTGCCAAACACAAATTCCTTCCTGGAGGAAATAGCCATGCATCAAAAAATTATCTTGATCACCACCCAAGGACTGATTACACGTGCCCAAAGCACACTTGTTCTGCCTGACCAGCCTGAGGGAGAGCACAAAGAAGAGGCTCTGAGGAGATAAGAAGAGTTCTGGCGTCTCCCAACCCCCAGTAACTCGATCAGCATAGCTACAAAATACAGAGTGCCCACTGTGTGCCAGACAAGGGAACTCACCCCTATAAAACTGATTCCTCCACACCATCTCCAGATGAAAAAATAGGTGTGTGTGTGTCTGTCTGTGTGTCTGTGTGTGCGTTTTTGCATTGAGCTGTATCCTCAGTTCCTGCTTTTTAAAATTTATATATATATATATTTTTTTTTTTTTTGAGACAGAGTTTTTCTAAGTTGTTAAATTGCCCAAGCCAAGCTCAAGGGTATGATCTTCCTGACTCATCTTCTCATAGTGCTGGAATTATAGGCTTTAAAGCTCTCTTTCTCATCCCAATCAGCTAGAAAGAAAGTTGCATGGCAGGAGCTCCCCTTGTCCCCACCCAGGTGCATGATGCCCTAGGTCCCACTGGAGACAAACCTTGTCGTGGACCGGTGAGGCTGCAGCTGTTTGCACAGCAGGCAGTGCTGACCCAGAGCGTGGAGTTGGGGCCATAGGTCAGGGTGCTGATGCCTTCCCGGCACTGCCCAGGGGCCACACATGATCCGCTGTCCACCACAGTCCCATTTTCTGGGGATAGAGGCCAGGAGCGGACATTAGGGACCCCTTCCCAAGCTCTCCGGGCCCCCGCGGCCCTCCATGGTGACCCCACGAGGTCACTCTATAAGCACCCAGTCCAGCACCCATGCCTCACAGCGGCACCCAGTCGAGTTGTGAGGCTGGGTGTGCAGCCCCGAGCCTCAGCCCTGCCCGCTCCCTTTGTCCTCCCGCTGCCCTCCCTGTCCCATCCCCTACCCAGATGCATCTGGCTGAGCAGGCAGGAGTCCTGGGCTGAAGGACAGATGATGTCCCTGCAGTGACCCGGTGAAGCGCAGGCTGGACAGGTCTTGGAGGTCCCTGTAGGGACAGAGGAGGGATCAGACCCTGTGGTTTGAGGATGGAGCAGAAAAAGCTCACGCACATGCACGTATACATGTGTACACACTTGTGTGCTCACACACACACACACACGCACACTTGTGAGATTCAAGAGCAGGACTAGGGAAGGGGCTGCAGCGGAAGAGAGGGTGGTTGGAGATCCAGGAACATTTTCCCAGTGGAGCGCACCTGGTGCATGCCCCCCCCAAAGGGTGGAATTGGGATCCTGGGGTCTCTGAGCCACAGCTGCTGGAGCCCTGTCTCCCCCTCAGGCTCCAAAGCCCAGAGCTGAGCCTGCGAAGGCGAAACCGCAGCTCCCAGCCAGCCCTCATCTCCACTCTTAGAAGAAACCTCCAGGCTCAGGGAGCCCGGTGTGAGAACTACTGAGCTCCTCTCACAACTTCCTGTTCTGCATGAGGAAACTGAGGCCAGAAGGGCTCAGCACAGCGAACCTATGGCCCGCATGCTGCAGCTGGCTGTTTATTATCACTGAAAGCTCAGAAAGGTTGGTCACTGGCCTAGGGTCTCACTCAAGATCACACAGTGAGGTCTTGGCTGGGATCCAAGTCACTTAATTCCCCACCCGAGCCACAGACTGCAGAATTACAGCCAAGGAGAAGACAGGCAGGCAAGGTTAAAGACCCATACTTATAATTACTCCTGGACATCCATAAGAGCTCACCCTCATGCAGGATGACCACCAGCCTGGTGCTGTCCCAGGCCCCTCAAACACTTTCATTCCATAGACACCGGGGTCTTTATCATCTTCATTTCACAGATGGGACAACTAAAGTACAGAGCAGTTAAATTCCTTGCCTGGGGTCACGCTGTTACAAAATGGTAGAGCTGGGATTTGAACCCAGGTAGCCTGGCTTCAGAACCCTGCTCTTCCTCAGCCACCCTGCTGCTGCCTCTGCTGTCCACGGCTGGGTGAAAGGGGCTGGGGCGCACGCTCTGAAGTCAACTCTCCCCACCCAGGTAATGTTGGGCCAACCTCCCCTCTCTCGGGGGGACCACAAAGCTCACCTTCTGGGGCGACCAGTGCCCCCAGGAGCACCAGGGCGGGGAGCTGCCGGAGCATGATCCAGGTTGGAGAGGAGGAAGCAGGACACAGGTGCCCTGGCCTTTTATCCAAGGGCCTGGCCAAGGTGGCAGCCCTAGAAGGAGAACAAACAGCCTGCGCAGATAGCGGCCCCACCTACCTTCCTGACCTCCAGGGTGCACAGGATGAGGGGCAGGGCATAGGGAACATCAAAGTGGGGAAACTGGACTCGGGGGGTGCACCTGTAATCCCAGATACTCAGGAGACTGAGGCAGGAGAATCACCAGCTCAAGCCCAGCCCGGACAACTTAGCAAGACCCTATCTGGAAATTTTTTAAAGGCTTGGGGGTGTAGCTCAGTGGTAGAGGGCTTGGATTCGATCCCCAGTACTAAAAAAAATGCGGAAATTGAGTCCCAGTGGCATGCGGGAGAAAAGAAGACAAGGCCACTCACTGAGACCAAAGAAGAACATATGGACATAGTATCATTATTGTGATTGTTGTTGTTGTTGTTATTATTGCCTGGTGACTCCATACAGATGTCAAGTAAAAAGGTCCACCCAATAGCATCACAGTTGAGAATCCTTAATCCCAAACTCACAAATCCAAAACTTCTAGAGCACTGACACGATGCCACCAGTGGGAAATTTCATTTCATAAACTGGGTGTGGCGATGCATGCTTATAATCCTAGCACTCTGGAGGCTGAGGCAGGGCTGGGGATTTAGTTCAGTGGTTCTGCCACCTGCTTCTCAAGCACAAGGTCCCGAGTTTGATCCCCGGTACTGGAAAAAAAAGAAAAGGAGGCTGAGGCAGGAGGATTGCAGTGAGTTCAAGGCCAGCCTGGGCCACATAGTGAGTTTGAAGCCATCCTGAACTGCATAGTGACACCCTGCCTCGAAAACTCAAAATAAAAAACATACCAAAAAAACCCAAATCAAAATCAAAACCACTTTCTTTCATGCACAAACTTATTTTAAAATACTGTGTAAGATTAACTTCATACTACATACGTATACTATTAAAAAACATTAAAAATACTACCTTCAGATTATGTGTATCTGAAGCATAAATGAATTTTGTATTTAGACTTAGGTTTCATCCCCAAGATAGCTCATTATGTATGTGCAAATACTCCACAATTACACACACACACACACACACACACACACACACACAAATCTAAAATCTGAAACACTTCTTTCTTCCAAGAATTCTAGGTAGGGGATCCTTAAGCTGTACTAACAATCCAAGAAGGAAATTCACAATACGAGGCCATCAGTCAGGCCAGGTTAATGGCAGTGACATTCTGCCCAGTTCTAGTGTCACATCCTGGTGGCCTTCCTGTGACTCGACATGACTCTTTGTGTTGCTGGAATGTGTGAGCATCTGAGAGGACGCAGAGATGTCCGCACGGGGGCTCTGAGGGCCTCCAAGCAGCAGATCGTTTCCAGCCAAATCTGGATGCATCACAGCCCAGAAGAGGGGAGGTTTCCCCTTTTGGCAGCAAAGAAAACTAAAGCTCAGAGCACGCAAATGATAGGATTTGAACCCTGGTCTTTTCAGTTCACTGCACTTTACCAGGACAGAAACAGGCCCAGCCTGGCTGGTTGAGGCCTGTGTGGCCCTGCTGTCCCTGTCCCCTGCTGGACCACCTTGATTTTCACATCTGTTCAGTGGAGATGAGGGCCATGGAGGACCCTCCAGGGCTGGTGCTGCTCATGTTCTATAGAAGTCACCTCTTCCTGAGCTTGCACTCCTGTCCCAAAGGGCTGCTTGAGCTGGGCATGATAATGCTCGCCCAAAATCCCAGCATCTGGGAGGCTGAGGCAGGAGGATTGCATGTTTGAGCCCAGCCTAGGCAACTTAGTTACCTAGTAGACCCTGTCTCAAAATTTTAATAGGTGGCCGGGGATTTAGCTCAGTGGTTTGGTGGCCTGCCTTGCAAGCGCAAGGACCCGAGCTCAGTCCCCGGTTCCAAAAAAAAAAAATCAAAATTTTAATAGGGCTAGTGATATAGTTCAGTTGGAAAGCCCTGGGTTCAATCCCAGCTGGCAAATAAATTGGTACATTTTAAAAAGTAAGAGGGGAGTGCAGTTCAGGTGAGAGGATTACATCAATTCTCCTCTGAGGTGCAGCTCTGGTGCTGTCTCTTCCCCTAGTTAGAGCCTCGAGTTTCATCTGTACAATGAGTAAAGCCCAGGGCCTGAGTTCCAGTAAGTGCTAGATAAACAGTGACTCAAACTTGGGCAGTTTCGAGGGAGTTAAGTTCACATTTCAAGGAAACTAGTGCAGGTCTAGAGGCGGAGGAAGAGTTTGGAGCCAGTCAGCTCAGATTTGCATTCCAGTTCTGCTGCTTCTGTCTTGTGTCGCCTACCTGAGTTTCAGTTTCCTGGTTTATGAAAGAGCGCAGCTTGGAGGACCTACATCCAGAGCCTACTGTGAAGATTAAATGAGTTGATGTAGATGGAACACTCGAAACAGTAGGTCTAGGGATGTAGTTCAGTGATAGGGTACTAGCTTGGCCTGTGCTAGACCCTGAGGTTTGATCCCAGGCATTGCAAGAAAAAAATAAAAACAGAACCAGGCGTGGTGGTGCATGTCTGTAATCCCAGCACTCGGGAGGCTGAGGCAGGAGGATCTCTGAGAGTTTGAGACCATCCTGGGCTACACAATGAGTTCCAGTGCAGTCTGAAAATCTGAACTACATAGTGAGACCCTGTCTCAATAAACAAACAAACAAATAAATAAATAAAGCAGGGAGCACTTGGGCCGGGAATTTAGCTCAGTGGTGCTGCCGCCTGCCTGGCAAGAGCAAGGTCCCGAGTTCGATCCCTGGTACCAAAAGAAAGAAAAACTCAAGGAGCACTAAATCAGATGTTGTGATAGACTTGTAATTCCAGCACTCTAAAAGACTGAGGCAGGAGGATCACAATTTAGTGAGACTCCTGTCTCAAAATTAAAAAATAAAAAATAAAAGGGGGCTGGGGATGTAGCTCAGTGCAAAGTCCCTGGATTCAATCTCCAGCACCAAAATAAATAAATCAAAATAGGGAGATAGATCTTTTGCAAACGGGAAAGGGACCAAGAGATGAGCGAGAAGGGAGGAAGGAAAGGTCAAGAGGTTGCAAAAGGAATTATGACATGTTATGTACATGTACCAACTATCATCATGTACTGCAAACATAGGCTAATAAAAATTAAAATAAGGGCCGGGGATTTAGCTCAATGGTTCTGCCGCCTGCCTCGCAAGCACAAGGTCCTGAGTTCGATCTCCGGTACCGAAAAAAAAAAAAATTAAAATAAAAACACACAACAGCTAAAACACCAACAATAAGAAACCCGCAGATACTAGCTGCTGCCGTGATTGTGGTCATCGTCACGATTAATCAGCAATGTAACTGAAGCCAGGGCAGAATGAGGTTGGCCTCTCCCCTCAACTCAGAGGAGAATTCCAAGCCAGAGAATGGAGAAGTCCAAGGTCACTCACAGGCGTGGGGCTTCCTGGCTCCGAGCAGGACGGCTCAATCAGTACGTACCATTAGAGTTTGCTTTGCAAGTTACCAAGCCCAAAGGGCAGATAGGAGCCCAGGGCTGGGGCCTGTTTCACCTGATGAGTTCTGAGAGCAGAAGAAGCCGGAAGACCCGGCTCACCTCCTTCCCCGGCAGACCCAGACCCTTTGGCTCAGGGGAGAAGGGAGACAGAGTCCTCCAGGGGATGAGGCAGCAGGGACAGAGTTTCGTGACCAGAAGCCAGTGTCCTACAAGGTTATCGGTCCAGACTGGGGCTGGGTAAACAGACTTGCACTGCACAAATAAGACTTGTGGGGCAAAGAGTGAGGAGTAGACAGGGAAAGGACATTTCCCTGCCCTACTTGTGAACCTGAAGCCAAAAGGACCTCAGGGGGAGAGTTATTTAATGCATGCAGAAGCAAGCAGGGACACATGGTTTGCTTTGGTGCACAAACCGGAGTTATCTGCACACTGTTCTGCCCCTAGACTTCTCCGCCTACCCGTGATGAAACCTGAGTTACAGAAAGCATTTCCGTCTTTCTTTTTTCTTCGGAAGGCACACACCTCTTGTAGGGTCCGGCATCTTCCCATCCCTTGGCATTAGGAGCTATCTGCAAAGAACGCCGCCTGTCTCCTTTCACTCGTGCACCCTCTTCCCAAAAGCGGTAAGTGATTTGGCTGTGGCAAAAGGCTTTTCTACATTTGTAATTTTGTAACTTGAGAGCAATTGCAAAATTGCCCCCTGGAGAGTTGTACCAGTTTACACTCCTGCAAGGCTTTGAGGCCAGCTCTCTCAGAGCCCCAACTCCACACATCACCAAACTGATTCTTGTGAAACTGGGAAGTGTAAAAGAGGAGTGTGGGTCTGCAGTCTTTCTGCTATCAGATAGTTCCTTTAGAAAAAGCCGGGCGTGGTGGCTCATGCCTGTAATTCCAGCACTTGGGAGGCTGAGGCAGGAGGATCGCTGTGAGTTCAAGACCAGCCTGGGCTACACAGTGAGTTCCAGGTCAGTCTCAACTTACATAGTGAGACCCTGTCTCAAAAAAACAAAACAAAACAAAACAGAAATGACTTGCCAATTAAATGTATTCCAAGTCCTTCCTGCCTTGAATGAAGAATTGAATGAGACAAGCTAAAACTGGTACCGAAAGTTTATTTGAAAAGGGAGGGGGCTGGGGATTTAGCTCAGTGGTTCCACCGCCTGCCTTGCAAGAGCGAGGACCCGAGTTTGATCCCTGGTATCGGAAAAAAAAAAAAAAAAAAAAAGTGAGGGATGAAGGGGCAAGGGAAAAACTGGCCCCAGCGCAAACTTGGGCTGAACAAAAAAAGGAAATGAAAAAGAGAGCCAAAATAAAAGTACATTCAGCTGCAGAGGACACAGAGTAGGCTGCCATGAAGAGTCATGAGAGCGGGCTCTTTGTGGCATTCCATCTTTGTGTCCTCCCATCCACATGTAGTGAGAGCCTTCAAGAAGTTCTACATCCCGGTTCTGGGAATTATTTGGCGCTGTGCTGAGGTCTTATAATTGACTGGTCCCGCTTATTTTCCAGCCAGCATTGCTGTGCCCTACTTCCTATCTCACTTCCAAATAGAGAGAGATGGAGTCCATTTCTCCTCTTCCCCTTGACCCTGAATGGGTCTCATGACTGGCTTTGGCCGCTAGAATGTGGTGCAGAGGATATCACATGAGCTCTGAGCCTAGGCCTCAGGAATTGACAGCTGCTGTCTCCACTTCTTCCTCAGGGAACCTTTCGTCACTAGGTGATCCAGCCAGGCCACCTCCTGCACGACGGAAACAAGGAGGCTCCTGTGAGAGTCCCCCCGCCCCGACCATCCAGGCCAAGAGCCTGCACGTGTGATGGAGGTCGTCTATCTTAGTCAGTCTGGGCTGCTATAACGAGATCCCATGAGCTGGGTGCCTTATAAAGGACAGAAATGTATTACTCACAGTTCTGGGAATGGAGAAGTTGAAGATCTAGGCCCCAGAAGATTCGGTGTTCAGGGTGGCCCCGCTTTTGGGTCACAGAAGGCATCTTCTTGCTGCACCCTCACGCTGAGGGAGAGACAACGCAGTTCTTTCTGGGGCCTCTTTTCTGTTCAGACAGGGTCACACTAAGTTACCCAGGCTGAGCTTGAACTTGTGATTCTCCGGCCTCCCAGTGCCCTGGGTCTTCTTTTGTAAGGTGACTGATTCCGTTTCTAAGGGTTCTGCCCTCCTGTTCTAATCACCTCACCCAAAGGCCCACCCCCTAATACCATCACACTGGGGATCAGGGCGGCAAAACATGAATCCTGCAGGGGACATAAATGTTCAGACCACAGTACCATCCAGGTCTAAGGATGACCAAAGCAGCCTGTACCGGAGGAACCTGGCCCCACAGGTGAGACTTAAGAAATATTTAGTCTTTTGCAGCATGGGTAGAGGCAGGGCTTCTTATATGATGGATGAGTACTCTACCACTGAGCTATATCCCCCGGCCCATAAATACTTGTTTTAAGCCCTAAGTTTTAGGGTAGTTGTAACAGCAAAAGTCATTGGTAGCAAATGGTATTTTAGTATCTTTTTGGGTTTTGGTTTTTGTTTTGTTTTGTTTTTCACATGGGGTCTTGCTATAGATTCCAGGCTGACCTCAAACTCACTATGTAGCCCACACAGTCTGGCCTCGAACTGACAGCGATCCTTCTGCCTCAGCCTCCCAAGTGCTGGGATTATAGGCATGTGCTTCCATGCCTAGTTGATGTCATTTTCATAAGAGCCACTTGTGCTTTCTCTCCTGTCCTTTTTTTAAAAAACTGATTCCTAGAAGTTGTATTAATTCCTGTGACCGTTGTAATATAGTCTGGTACCAAGTGACTAAAATAGCAGAGAAGTACTGTCTACCAGTATGGAGTCAAGAAGTCCTAGGTGGAGGTATCGAGTCTGCAGGGCTGTGCTCCCTCCAGTCGCTGGAGGGGAGTCCTTTCTGCCTTTGTCATTCTGACCTTCGCTCTGGGTCTGTATTATCCGGCGGCCACGTCCTTACCGGACACCAGTCACACCAGATGAGTAACCCACTCCATCCTGGTATGACCTCATCTTAGCTGGTTGCATCTGCAACAATCTTATTTACAAACAAGGTTGTGTTCTGAGTCCTGAGGTTAGGACTTCACCTTGTCTTTTGTGGCGGGGGGGAAGCATAATTCAAACCATAGTAGGAGCTCTTGTCTGTTGGAAACAGTGGCCCTGGCTGTGCCCGTCTCCCTGACTCTCTCACCTTCTCCGTCTCTCCTTCTGGCTGGGAAAACCCCCAAAACCCATGCAACCTGGCCCTCAGCCCTATGGGCACACACGAACCAGGTGAGGCTCGGATGAGTCACTGGGAGGAAGGAGGGGGACATTCTTACTGCTTTCCTGGAGGTGCCCCAGCCCTGACACCAACCAAAACCTTGCGGGTGTGTGTCACTGGAGGGGGACACGGAAGGCAGGGAGAGACAGAGACAGAGAAGGGAGAAGCAGAAAGAAAGATCAAAAGAGGCAAAGATAAAGAAAAAACAGACAGGGTGTGAAGAGAGACAAAGGGATGGAGCCAGAGAGATAAAGAGGGCAGAAACAAACAAAAAGTCTCGAATGGAGCGCTAGAGAAAGACAAAGACTGAGAGACGCAGAACAGAAGTGAGATTTCAGGAGACAAGGGCAGTCCGCAAGAGGATGTAGAGCTTTCAAAACACTTCCTTCATTCTTTAAATAAAAGAGGAAATTGGTCTCACAGCCATTAGGTCACCCAACCAGGAAGTGGTGGTGCCAGACCACAGTCCATGGAGTCCCCAAAAGCCTCCCGCCCACTCCAGACCCGCCCACGCCAGACCCATTTACGGGTGGGGGTACCAGTGATCAATGGAGTGGAGCCATTGCCGGGGTCGCCCAGGGGCAAATGGCTGAGCTGGGTCTCTAAACTGCTTGAATCATTACCCTAATTTCCTTTTACTTTTGCAGTACTAGAGATTGAACCCAGGTCCTCACACAGGCTAAGCAAGTGCTCTATCACTGATCTACATCCCCAGTGCTTCATGTTTTTTATTTTGAAACAGGTCTCACAAAGTGGCCGAGGCTGGCCCCAAACTTTTGAACCTCCTGCCTCGACCCCCACAACTAGCTGGGATTACATCACACCTTGCTCAAACACCCTGTTTTCTATCTACCTGCCTCATTTGCATTGATATCTTGTTCAGGCTTCACAGTGGAGCCCAGAAGGGATCCTGGGTTCCTGATGAGGAAATGAAGGCTCTGATCAAAGAACAGCGTTGCGTCTGGGTAACCCAACCAAGGTTGCTTGATAATTGCTAAACTCAGACTCCAGAACACACCCCCAACTCCCTTGTCACGCCACAAAGAGGAAATGCAGAGCCAGAGTTGGATCTAAAACAATGATTTTGCCAAGCATGGTAGTGCACACCTGTAATCCCCGCACGCAGGAGGCTGAGGCAGGAGGATCGCTGCAAGTTCAAGGCCAGCCTGGACTGCATAGTGAGTTCAGGGCCAGCCTGAACTACAAAGAGAATCCTTGTTTAAAAAAACAAAACATGATTTTTACTGAGCATGTACTATACCCAAGGTTCTGTGGAAAGCATCACAGGTGTGTTCTTTTCTCTCCCCAAAACATCTGACCTAGGAAGGAGAAACTTGCTACTTTCTAGGTAAGGAACTGGAGACACAGAGTCAGTGGAATTCAAAATCTCACAATCTTGAGCCATCCCCCACACCCAACCACTGAGCTACACTGAAGTAGGATTTCTCTGGGACTTTTCTTGCTTGAAAATGATTAGTCTGACATTTCAGTGGATTAGTAAGAATCAAAATAGTAGAATCAGTAATGTAGAGGGAGCTACTCCTTCTGCATCATCTTCTACTCTCTCCCTCCCTTCCTCTGTGAGTCACACCGACCTCCCTGCAGTTCCTATATGTCACCCAGCACATTCTCACCTCAGGGCCTTTGCACAGGCTATTCCCTGTCCCTGGAAAGCTTTCCCTACACATTTGCCTGATGTCTTCCCTCTGTGCTCAAGGAAACCCCACAGACCACCCTGCCAAACACAGCTAAAACCGTACTTGCACCCTCACATCTTCTTCAAGACCTGCCTGCTTTCCCCATTTTACCTAATCTGACAGTAGAAGTTTAGATAGCATACACTGCCACTGTCAGCACAAGGGTGGGGACTTTGCTGTGTTTCCTGCTGAGTCCTCAGCTCATGGACTAGGGACGGCACAAAGTGGGTCCTTGGTAAATGCTCCAGGAACGTTTTGAGCCCACCATGTGGCCCTGTCACTATTCCCGTGTTAAATTGCTCTCATTGACCAGAAACATCACAAGCAGAAGGCTATTTTATCCCCTGCATTTTATATTCCTTTATTATTTTTTTTACTATTGAACACTTTTAGGAACACTTGGAAATGGAGAAAGAATGGAATAAGTACACCTCATTTAGTTGTAAATTTGATATAATTAGTATAAATAACAGGCTATTTTGCCTCTATTTTCTTCCAAAATATTTTTTGGCTTTGTTTCGTTTTCTTTTGTTTTTTGAAACAGTCTCACTATGTAGTTGAGACTGACCTGGAACTCACTAGGTAGCCCAGGCTGGTGTTGAACTCACAAGGATCCACCTGCCTCAGCCTCCTGAATGCTGGGATGACAGGCGTGCACCACCACGCCCAGCTGTTCCAAAATATTTTTTAAAGTAAACACCAACATCAATGACATCCAACCCTGAATACTTTAGTGTCTGTTGAAAGAAGGGGGGAGGGAGCAGGAGCGGGGGAGGAAGAGGAGAAGTAGTAGTAGTAGTGGGCCAGGGATTTAGCTCAGGGGTGCTGCCGCCTGCCTTGCAGACACAAGATACTGAGCTTGATCCCTGGTACTACAAAATAAAACAAAACAAAAAGAACAAGTTCCCCACATGACCACAAAATCTTTTTTCTAACAGCGATACCTACTTTTTTTTGGCTAAAATGAAGATAAATGACAGACGTTGTCATCCACATCCAAATCGTTGAGTGCATCTCTGAGCGATAAAGGCATTTTCCACACACGACCACACAACCATCTCTCCCCAGCAGAGCTGACAGCTCTTAATACTATCTAACAATCAGCGGCATTCGGTCCCCCACGGGGACAAGCTTTCATCTTCACTTTACACGGGAGAAGAGTCATTGTCCAAGGGTGTCGCCTGGCAGGAAAAGGAGGAGCTGGGATTTGAACCTCCGAAGTCTGATGACAGAGCTGTGGCTGCTGCGGTGAGTCAGGGCCCAGCCAGCTCCGGTCATTTGTGCGTGGTGGCCGCGCCCTCGGAGAAGTTTTGCGGGCGAGCTGGAGAGGCCGTCTGGGGAGGAGAGGGCGGCGCCCACGCATTTGCGTCTGACTGGCTCTTGAGCAATGCGCCGGGGAGAAGCCCGGGGCCACAAAACTGCCTCCTTCCCGGGCCGGCGGGCCAGAGGAGAGGCGCGGGTCGGGCCGGGAGCATGGGGCGCACCCTGCTGCTGCCGCTGTGCCTTCTGATCTGCACCCCAGGTAGGGGCCGGGCGAGCACCTGACCGCACCCGACGGTCATCCTCGGGCGTCCCCGGCGGCCCCCGGCGCAGGCCCAGCCCTCGGTGGGCGCGGGAGAGACCAGCTAGCTGGGTAGGAGCGTTGACAAGGGCGACCCTGTAGCGGGCGCCCTTTTCGTGCCCGATGCTCTTCTAAACTCCTTCCTTGCCTTTACAAGCCAGGCGGGCGGGGCTGTTATTAATCCTGTCACGGAGGACACTGAGACACAGAGAGGTTAAGTAACGGGTCTGAGATCCCCAGCCAGTTCTCGAGTAACTGGGGTTCTGACCCCGCCGGGCACCCCAGGATCCTCTTTAGAGAAATAAGGGCGCAGCGCCCCGTTTTGCAAAGAGCCTGGAGAGAGTTGGGCCGAGCGTCTCTGAGGACACTTCCCTTTCACCAACCCCTCGCAGAAGTGACTATTTCACCTGCTTCCCCCGGAAAATACGGGGCAGTGGGGTTGAGAAAGGAGGGGAAACTGAGAAGGAACTGAATCAGGTCAGGCGCGGCGGGGGGTGGCGGCGCGGCCCGGGATAACTCAGCGCACGGAACCGCGGGAGGCCAGGAATGAGTAATGATCCGAAGCTGGGGAGGAAGGGACGTCCGGGCGGCCTAG